AGCTAGAGTTTAGATATTAAGCATGAAACATCTTTAAGTAAATATCTACAAAGTTTGTTCAAATAAAAATTGGCCCCGCCCCAGGGGGTCATAGATTTTCCCTATATGCATATAGTAAAAACTTAAAAATCTTCTTTTAAAAAACCCAATGAGCTAGAACTTAGATGTTTAGCATGAAACATCTTCTTACGGGTGTCTACCAAGTCTGTTCAAATAAACAAATAAAAGCCCTTGGGTAAAAATTGGCCCTGGGGCTATATACAGGTGAGCGAACTCAGAGCCATCTTGGCCCTCTTGTTTATTTTGTCGCACTTTTTTACATTTTGTCAGTATTTTGTGAATGAGCACTTCAACCGCGACAACACAAATAAAATCAAAGCACTGAAAGTACTGTTGGAAGGAAATTTTCATAGAAATACCTAATGCGTGTGAATTAAAAACAAAGGAATATGTGCAAGCTCCAATCTACAGCTAGCTGATTTGATGACGTAAAATGTGAAGTCATTGTTTCCGTTTTTGCACTACTCATGTTCAGTGGGCTGATAACTAGTTCTTGGCCCAGGGCCCCAAACCCATAAGTTGTGACACTCATAATCAGTTGAAATCATAGGCAATTCTGTTACTAATATAGTAATAAGTGAATTAATAGATAATACTACTGCATTATGCACACAAAGAACCACTCAGTTTGACCTAAATCGGCCATGACTTATATGACTACTTCATAGGAATTCAAGACCATACCATAAGCATTATTTAATCATAGTTAATGAAGAGACTTTTTATTTTAAACTCAAGGACAAGAAAAGCTCATCATGTGCTTACATTTGTAAGTTCAAACATAACTAATTGTGTTTTAGTATGAAATTGATGTACATGCTGTTAAAGTCATAGCAAAACAAAGAACAATGATTTAAAATAAACTTTTATTGTCAAAACTTGCATAAAAGTAAAAATAAATGTAATATAAAAAATAAATGATTAAATATATGGAGATAATGAAATTTAGTTTGTCAGATAAAATGTATAAAAGGAACTCCACTGAGGTTTTTTGACATGATGAGACTGAAATTTATTTTTCTAGATTAATGTACCACTTGATGTATGTTTTGACCACTACTCTTTGAGAAAAATTTCAGATCATTTGCGCACTTCGTTTTTCAAGAATAATTATTCAAATTGTAAAAAAATTACCCAAAATGAAAGCGTTTAAACACATATCACGCAGATCAGGCTGAGAAAAGCATAAAAAAAATGATTTTCAATTCATTTCAAAGTATATTTCTTCACTATCTGTGCATATTGTATCAAGTGCCCCGGCTCATTTCTGTAGAAATCCAAATGTTATGTTTTAGGCTTTTAAACCTCAATGGAGTGAGTCCCTTTAAATTATTGGTACATATTGAGGTGATACAAATTATAACAATCTGAATGAAAGAAGCTTTAATGCAAACGGCCAGTAATATAGGAGGTGCTGTTCTAAGGATTTTTTACATACAAGACTGACATTATACAACAAAATATAGTCAAAAGTAGAAATGTGCCCATAGGACTTGAATGCCTGCGTTAAGAACAATGCTTATATTGAGTGGGTAATCAAAATATGTACATAATTAGACAAGCCCACTGGCAGCATATATCAAGCCTGTTGCCATTATTCAGAACTGAACCTTAAAGCTTCAGATTGGGGAGAAAGATGTATACATAAGTGAGCATTTGTGATAAATGTTATGAAAATCCAGCCATGTATATAGAAATATACTCTCCTGTTTTCAGTTATTATTTGACTTTTGATCCAAAGTAGTGACCTTGATCTTTGCAACAGACACCTGATTTTTCATACTACACTCCAACTCACTAAAGACTGTTAAATTTTGTCCAGAGTTATATGAAAAATCTTTATAGATTTCAAAAGCATTCAAATATTATCAGTTATAAATCATTTTTTTGCATATGATTTGGTAAGGAATGCATAATGTTGTATAAATTTTGTGGAACGTAACTGAAATCATACTTGACCTGTGTTTTGATATATTGTTGAATATACCAGTTATAAATTGAATCCTTAAAAGGTGTACAAATTTTATTGGTTAGCTTACAAGAGCATTTCTGTTTTCATATTTTACTAGGTAAAGTACAAAGAAATGATATTGTTATGATTTTATGAGCCATCACATCAAACCGTGATCAATGTAATATGAAGTATGGAAAAATAAGTAACAAGAAGTGCATGTTTAACTAAAACAGAATGTATGATTCAGAGGAACACTGTAAAAATAAAGTAAATAATGTTAAAAAAAAACAACAACAAAAAAAAACATAAAAAAAGTTGACCATCATTTGGACTTTCATGAGTTGGCCATGCTAATCTTAGAATAAGAACATAAATAAAATACAACATTATACAAAAGGTAGTACAAAAAATACAATGATCAAAAGTTTGAAAGTGAACACTTGTTGGTAAAATAAACAAGAATTTGTAACAGAGATACCAACGTCCCCCGCCTCAGGGAAGTTTTATATGAAGCAAAAAATTGTGCTATTTCAAAAGATTGAGGCAGGGATCTAAGGATTTTCAGTCCAAAATTATGATCAATGCTGGATCTGCAAATGCAACAATAAATTTATTAAAGAAATAAAATGAAATACTGAATTTCAAAATATATCATGTTAAGCTTTGCAGGGATTTTTTGGCTTATTTTATAGCCGTTATTGGGACATGTTCCCAATTGAAAATAGTATATTATTTTCCCAATCCAAAGGAAAATATTCCCAATTGAAAATTACAAAAATATATTGAAAAAAGAATTCTAAAATCTTTGAAAATAAGGGCTTCTTTACTGTAATAGTGTTTCAATGTTTGAAGAAGCCATCCTAGGCAGTGATTGCTTGCATACATTTAATCACTGCAAACTTTCAGTCATACATTTTTTCCCAATTTTAACAAAATATCGCTGAAATTCCCAGTTGCATGGGTATGGGTTATGTTCCCAAAATCCTGGAAAAAATCCCTGCTTTGACCTCTAAGTGTGACCTTGACCTTGGAGGTAGGGGTGCAGGTGTTGTGCATGACATATCATCTTATCATTGTGACTATTTGTGCCAAGTATTTTCCAAATCACTTCATCTATGAAGAAGTTATGGACGGGGCATAAAATATACCATATAACAGACTTTGTTACCTTTATACCTCTAAGTGTGACCTTGACCTTGGAGGCAGGGGTGCAGGTGTTGTAATTAACATTATTATTGTGACTATTTGTGCCAAGTTATTTCAAAATCCCTTGAACTATGAAGAAGTTCTACATTGGACACAATATATACCCTTTAAAAGACTATGTTAATTTTTTACCTCGAAATGTGACCCTGACCTTGGAGGTAGGGATGCAGGTGTTGCGCTTGACACATTGTCTTATTATAGTGAATATTTGTGCCAAGTGTTTTCAAAATCCTTTGATATACAAAAATGTTATGGACCGGACAAAAAAAAACCCTATAACAGGCTATGTAAATCTTAGACCTCCAAGTGTGACCTTGACCTTGTAGGTTGGTGACCGATTGTTGCAACAATCGCATAACACATCATCTCATTGTTGTGAACAATTGCGGCAAGTATTTACAAAATCCTTTCAAAGATAAGAAAGGTATAGACTGGACACGAGATATACCCTCAAATGGACAATGTTGACCTTGAATGAGCAAGTGTGACCTTGACCCTGAAGGTAAGGGTCTGGTTGTTGCACATCATCGTCTTATTATAACAAACATTTGTGCCAAGGAATTTCAAATTCCTTCAATAAATGACAAAGTTATGGACCGGACACGAAATATACCCTGTAACAGGCTATGCTAATATTTGACATCCAAGTGTGACCTTGACCTTGGAGGCAGGTGACCTGTTGTTGAGCATGACACATCTTCTCATTATTGTGAGCAATTGTGGCAAGAATTTACAAAATCTCTTTAGAGATAGGGAAGACCGGACACGAGATATACTCTCAAATTGACAAGTTGACCTTGAATGAGCAAGTGCGACCTTGACCCTGGAGGTAGGGGTCTGGTTGTTGACATGACTCATTGTCTTATTATAACAATCATTTCTGCCAAGTTATTCCAAATTCCTTCAATAAAAGCTTGAAGTTGATAAAGATTTGTTCATACATATTTCAACAAGATTGTTGAACAAGAGGGCCATGTGTATATAGGCCCCTGGAGCGGGGCCAGTTTAAACCCCAGGGCTTTTATTTGACCAAACTTGTAAGACACCCGTTAGAAGATGTTTCATGATGTTAAGTTTTTACTACACACATATAATGTAAAACAAAGACCTCTGCACCACCCCCCACCCCGGCATGGCCAATTTTTATACAAGGGCTTAAATTTGAACAAACTTGGTCGACACCATAAGATGTTTCATGCTAAACATCTAGGCTCTAGCTCATTGGGTTTTTTAAAAGAAGATTTTTTAAGTTTTTACTATACACAAATAGTTAAAAACAATGAAACCCCTGGGGCGGGGCCAGTTTTGACCCCAGGGCTTTTATTTGAACAAACCTTGTACACACTTACCAGAAGATGTTTCATGCTTAATATCTAAACTCTAGCTATTTAGGTTTTTTCAAAGAAGGTTTTTAAGTTTTTGCTATACACATATAAGGAAAATCAATGACCCCCGGGGAGGGGCCAATTTTGACCCCAGGGCTTTTATTTGAACAAACTTTGTAGACACTTACAAGAAGATGTTTCATGCTTAATATCTAAACTCTAGCTATTTTGGTTCTTTAAAAGAAGATTTTTAAGTTTTTACTATATGCATATAGGGAAATTCAATGACCCCCTGGGGCGGGGCCAATTTTGACCCCCAGGGCTTTTATTTGAGCAAACTTGGTAGACACTCACTAGAAGATGTTTCATACCTTTAAAAGAAGATACTTTGTCTAAGCTCTAGCTCTTTGGGTTCTTTAAAAGAAGATACTTTAAGTTTTTTTCTTTTGGTTGCCATGGCAACCAGCGTTCTATGAACAATATTTAGAGGTGACCACCAAAGAAACATTCCTGTGAAGTTTGGATGAAATTGGCTTAGTGGTTTATGAGGAAATGTCATTTAAAGTGGACGCCAGACGAAAAAAGCGATCAAAAAAGCTCACCCTGTCACTTTGTGACAGGTGACCTAAAAATAGTTAAGTGATCTTATTTTCCTGGTGAAAAACTGGTGGCTCAATAAAGTTTTATACATATTATGATATTTCAAATATTGGAAAGTTATCTTTAGTTCTTGGTGAAAGACTGGTGACTAGTTTTCTCCTCAATGTCATTTCTTTTTCTAATTAGATTAAGTCATGGTACTATATTCATGAGGCTTTCCACATCACATCTAAGAACTCATTATCCAACATTGCAAAGGGCAGGCAGTCTCCTGATATTCCAATTTCTTTTAAGTTTTATAAAACCACAATATTTCTATTTCTTTAGTGTTTCCGACATGAAGACACATCTACATGTATCTTTCCTTATCACTCCTGCTTTTACTGTTCTATCATATAAGCGCCTCTGTTTCCTGAAATATTTGTTTAGAAAAAGTTAATTGCAAAGTTAAAATTCCACTTGTAAACCCTTGCCGAGCACAAACTTACAGCAGTGAAAGGCTTAAAGGTTTAAAGTCAAGAAACTAAACCAATCAGTCACAGACACCCCAAGTATTTTATCTATTTGCTAAGCAGCAATTTTTTCAAAATTATTTAAATTCATAATGTGAGTGATTCTGATAAGCTATAGACAGCTAAGTGATGATAAGATGATCATATATGTCAGATATGTCGGAGTGCTAACACTGCTTACTGTGAATATTCAATATTTTAATGTGAATTGTCCTGAGGTAAAAAGGAAAAGAAAGCTGAATTCCTAAATACATGTTACATGTCACAATTGTTCTTGCTATTAATTTTGTTCCTAATTTCTTGTATAAGATATTTAAATACACTGTAATTCTTTTTTATAAATTTGGCTTTTTGTGACAATAGTCTATCCAGTGACCGAAGCTCACTGACTTAAAATAAACTGTCCTGTGTCAGCCTTGAAACAAGTCAAGAAAAAAAAAGCTATTAGAATATAATAATTAAGAAATATCATATACAAATACTTCTAAATAATCATGTACCTCTTCCTTAAAAGCCCATGCTATTGAAAGAAACATTTTTTCCATTTGTTCACTTCAAGGTTAGTCAGATTGACAGTCTCACATTTTAGCCTTTATCTCTCGTGATTTCATTGTCATTGACCCTAAAGCATCCTTAAAATCGATATCCTGCTGTTCACATTCATAAATCTGACATAAGTTTTTAATATAGCTCTGTGACTAGTATTATACAACAGCTTATCAAGTTGTGTTTCTATTCAAAGTTACAAAAGTATTGTTTTCTAATATGTTTTTGCTCAACTTTTTTTTTTTAGAAAAAAGAGGTACTGATACAGTCATGTAGGAGTTGTCTTCCGCAAACTTGTTCCTTGATCAGAACTTTTAAATATGTTAGTGTACTGTCTTCATACTTGGCCACAACACCTCTTGACACAAGACCTTTCAGTAGACTAAACTTACCTTGACCTTTGTTCATAAATGACCTTGACCTTCAAGGTCAAATGTAAACAAATTGCTTGTTTCTTGCTATAAGCTAGTGGCTATAACTTCAAACTTGGAACATAATAATCGTAAAGACTTTTAAGATAGCCCTTTAAGTTAACCAGACATACTTTGACCTTCACTCATGAATGACATTGACTTTGAAGGTCAAATTAATTATTATTTGCTGTAACTGACTGCAACTTTGTTAATATTGAATGGATTGACTTCATATTATAACAAAACGTTCTTTAGAATAAGGCCTTTCATGTATATCAAACTCAAATTGACCTTGGCTCTTTAATGACATTAATTGATTTTTGCTATAATTTTATGTTACAATGTACTATGTTATTAATCCACAGATTTTTAGATTATCAAATTAACTAATTTACATATGGCCTTGACCTTTAGGTAAATTTGACCATCAAATGATTGATTGATTGATTGATTGACTTTTGATTATATTTTCTTAACATTGTCGTTTATCAATGGAAAGGATTCATACTAAGCATAACTAGACAGACCTATAAAATATATAAAAAGGAAAACTAAACTTTTATTTTTAAGACTCAAGAGGAGTTTAAGCCGTTTATTTTGTTTTCTTTTAGAAACTGAGTAAAAAGGTCGAGCGTTGTCCCTGACCGGAAGTGGCTCTTGTTTATGAGTTGCTGTAAATAGATTATTATGCCCCGCCACAAAATGGCCGGGCATATAGTGTTACATTGCTTATTATGGTTAAATGATTTTTGGCAGAGTATTGTCCCATTTAATTTAAAAAAAAAGAAAATTGTTTTCATTATCTCCCTAATGGTTGTTGACACTTAAAAAAGTTAACTCAAATTTGCCATATGGATATATCATGTTGAGTTCGAAATATGTCATGGTTTGATGATTTTTGACAGAGTTATCGGTCTTGAACTTTGTAAAAATAAGATATTTTAGTTTCCCTTCATTATCTTCCCAACAGTTTTACAAATTCAAATGAAATTTTCCATACGGATACGTTAAGAGAATGCTCAGGTGAAGTTTGAATTTGGTCATGCCTTGTTGATTTTTAACTGTGAAAAAATAAGAATTAAGATATTTTTAGTTTTAGTTTATTTTCTTCCAAACTGTTGTACACATATAACCCAAATTTAACATATTGATATGTCATAGGTATACGCAGGTCAATGTCATATTTGGTCATGGTTTGATAGTTTTTGAGACAGAATTATGCCCCTTGAACTTTTGGGGAGAAAAGAAGAAGTTGTCAATTTCTCTTCATTATCTCCCAAACAGTTGGTCACATTCGATTCAAAGTTGCCAATTTTTGTTCATTATCTCCCAAACAGTTGGTCATATTGGACTCAAATTTGACTTACAGATAATCACAGGAATAAGCAGGTCAAGTTTGTATTTGGTCATGGTTCGATGATTTTGGTCAGAGTTATCCCTCTTGAAAGTTGGAAAAATACTTTTTTAAGTAATGTATGTATAATGTTGAATCGCATGTGCAGGTATTAAACAAGAAAATACAAGTCAAGTTAAATTATTAAATTTGGTCTGATGAGTTACCATTTTTGAACTAAGAAAAAAAAGAAATTTTCCGTTAAAGGAACTCCATTGAGGTTTAAAAGCCTAAAACATAACATTTGAATTTCTTCGAAATTAGGTGGGGCACTTGAGACAGAAATATATGCATAGATAGTTAAAAATATATTTTGGAATAATTCAAAATTGTATTTTTCTTAGTCAGTTTGGATTGAAAAGCGTTTAAACGCTTTTCATGTTGGGTCTTTTATTGACAATGTGAATAATTATTCTGGAAAAACGAAGTGGGCGATTGATCTGAAATTTTGCACAACGATTAGAGGTCTAAACCTTCATCAAACTGTACATTTATATGGAAAAAAAATTCAGTCCAATCATATTAAAAAACCTGTATGTACAAGATTTATATTTGTGGGCATAGTTTAATGCAATATTTGTATTTGTGTACATAGACAAATGTAAGATTTGTATTTGTGTACATATTATTTACTACATTGTATAAGATTTGTGTTGTGTACATAATGATTTATAGAAGATTTGTATTTGTTTGTTATATTTTCTTACAGATTTGTATTTGTGTACATATTATTTATTACATTGTACAAGATTTGTGTTGTGTACATAATGATTTATAGAAGATTTGTATTTGTTTGTTTTATTTTCTTTAAGATTTGTATTTGTGTACATATTATTTACTACATTGTACAAGATTTGTGTTGTGTACATAATGATTTATAGAAGATTTGTATTTGTTTGTTTTATTTTCTTACAGATTTGTATTTGTGTACATATTATTTACTACATTGTACAAGATTTGTGTTGTGTACATAATGATTTATAGAAGATTTGTATTTGTTTGTTTTATTTTCTTTAAGATTTGTATTTGTGTACATATTATTTACTACATTGTTTAAGATTTGTGTTGTGTACATAATGATTTATAGAAGATTTGTATTTGTTTGTTTTATTTTCTTTAAGATTTGTATTTGTGTACATATTATTTGCTACATTGTATAAGATTTGTGTTGTGTACATAATGATTTATAGAAGATTTGTATTTGTTTGTTTTATTTTCTTTAAGATTTGTATTTGTGTACATATTATTTGCTACATTGTATAAGATTTGTATTTGTGTACATGTTATTTACTACATTGTTTAAGATTTGTGTTGTGTACATAATGATTTATAGAAGATTTGTATTTGTTTGTTTTATTTTCAACAAGATTTTAATTTGTGTACATATTATTTACTACATTGTATAAGATTTGTGTTGTGTACATAATGATTTATAGAAGATTTGCATTGTTTGCTTTATTTTCTTTCAGATTTTTATTTGTGTACATATTTTCTACTACATTGTATAAGATTCGTATTGTGTACATGCTTTGCAGAAGATTTGATTTTGTGTGGTCGATTTTCTATAAAATGTATATTTGTGTAAATAGCTTACTATTAGATCACTTTTAGTATTTTCTTTATTATTTTTCTATCAGACAGGGACTTTGAGTTCTTATATAAGGAAGTTATCCAGCTAGTTTATGAAATGCCGGTGATTCTACTCAGGTGCCTATTTGTGCCTGATACAATTAACAGAAGGGCACCTGAGTTCTTCCTCTTCCAGTAAGGTTGGACATATACTGAGTTGGTGTGCCATAAAATCCAAACAAACACACAAACACTTTTTACTATAAAACTTTTATATTTATGTACATGATTTTACATTTACTCTCAGTTTTGTATTTGTATACGTGACTATCTATAATATTTATATGTGCGAATAAGATTTTCTACATGAATAAGATTCCTATATTTGTGTACATGATTTACTTTAGGATTTGCATTTGTCTATAATTATTATTTTACTGTACAGATTTTACCATGAAAGTGAAAGGTCATGTAAATGATAAGGAGAATTGCTGCTATAATAACCATTTAAAATGTGTAGTTACTTATATGATGTTTTAACGTTTTACACCTAAACCTGCGCTCAAACCTAGTTGACAGAACCTAATGGAACTCAGTTCCAATATTCCTACTTGAATAATGTTGAATCACCCTTAGGATATGTTGCCTGCTTTTTAAATTTGTCTTTTGACGTCTTATCTGTGATACGCAGGCTTCATAACCTCTGATCCCCTTTCAAAATTCCATTTTATTTAGTTCCGCCCATTGTTTTCTCGTTTAGGGCACACGCTTTTTATTACTTGGGGACCATACGCCGCTTTTCATGGAATGGCACGGAAGTGTCACATTGAAGGTTCCATGATAACCGCCGTATGAACACATCTGCGGATGTTTCTAAATTCAAAATTTTACCATTTCATGTTTAAATGTTGAATTCTGCTTAAGCCGGTGCTAGGGGGCGTGGACGGTATAACTTGCACTTTCCAGTACCGTCCATGAACAGGCTCAATCAAACCGAGCCTGCAACATTTTCAATTTTGCCGTGTTGGGCTTCCTTTAGGGATTCTGTATTTATCTATTTCAGTAAGAACAATCTTTGTGTGGACCATATGAAATTAATTGTTTTGGTCTGTTTAACATAATATAAAATATGTTTAAACTTTCAATCGATTTTTATATTTAAACCGTACGTTTTACCACAAAAAAAGAGTATGTAATATAAAATTTCCTGTAATAATCCTCCTTAAATGTGTAATAATTCTCCGTAAATGATAAAAACAATATGTTGTGTTTGTCACACTTAAGTTAAATTATGTTTCCCAAAATGTTTGGAAGACATATTGTTTTTGCCTACGCCGTGTGTCTGTCCGTCGGCATTAAGCTTGTCCAACTACTTGTGGGATTTCAACCAGACTTTACAGGAGTGATCAGTACCATCCCTTGTTATGCACATCACTGGTACATTCTCTTCGCTGCACAAAAAGGCCGCCACAGCTAAATTGGAAATTCTTGTCCGGCCTTCACAGGTCAAACTACTGGTTGGATTTCAACCAAACTTTACAGGAGTGATCAGTACCTTCCCTAGTTGTGCACATCACCGGCAGGTTGCGCTTCTCTGCACTAAATGACCATCAGAGCTTTGGATAGAAAAACCTTGTCCAGCTTTCACAGTTCAAGCTACTAATGGGATTTAAATGAAACTTCACATGACTGACCATACATAGTTTTGGGCGACATATTTTGTGACAAAAACCCTTCTAGTTTAAATCAAA